TCTGACGCGTCTGCCTCCGCGACCCGAAAGGAGAAGCGGCGATGGAAGATGAAGATGAAGATGAAGAAAGACTGCTGGCCATACACCTTACTTATTAGTCGTGTTATAATGCACTTTCAAAATTTTGGTCCCAAAGCAAAGCATCAAAAATGGTCGTCGATAAATTCATCAATGGCATTATGGATTAGGTTGATTTCTTCAGACGGCTGTGATATCATAGCTTTGTTGTAAATGAAACTGATACAAACAGCAGAAAAGCTAAAGGCTTTATTTCTACCGTAACATTTCGGTCAAGCATAATCGGCCATGTTTAGAACAACCAATTGTTTGCCAAACATGCCCAGGACATAGCCATTGTTGGTAGTAGAACTAAAGCCTTTAACACAGGTTTTCTTACTGTATCCATAGCCACTGAGAACACAGCATCCAAATCACAGGTTTCTAAAATCATCAAAGCACCGTACTCACACTTCGATGAAAATTGATCCAAATGGCAAAATTCCACCAAGCAAGATGATTACTAGAGGTTCCATATATAGTTTTTTCTCAGGAATCGGACGAGGAACCGCGTTTATTCGACAAGGATAGCTCGCTTGGCCGCTTAGATTGCGACCGAGAACGGTGCCGACAAGCGACAGCGGCAAAATCACGAAAAAACATATGGCGGTGATGGCCAGCTAAACAAAGAACACTTTTATAAACACGATTAAGAAATAGTAGCGCATAGCAAGTCAAATGGCAACAACAACAACAACAAACTAAATGCGCCTCAAAATCGTTGTTCATTACATGGAACGTGAATGAATGATGACGTAAAACAATAGACTTGAATAGTGACAGTAAACAGCATTTTCCAGGTCCTGGCCTTCCAAACAGTATGAAAGATGCCAGTTTCCTCTGTTTCCTGATGCAGTCCATCAATTATTGACTGAATCTCCTTAGGACTTATAAAATGAGCAGTCATTCTTTGCTTAAAATGTAGATAACATCAGAGTTCATAAAGTAAAATGTTTAAAAAATTTATTTATTACGTTTATTGTTCCAAAAGAGAGCTACAACAAAACAGAGAGTATAATTTTCAGCAATCCTGAAGATCATAAACATAACATACCGTCACGTTATTCCTCAGCGATATAGGCTCATATAAGCTTGCATTTTTAATTCGTAGATGCACAGAAACCAAAAAAATTTTTCAGACAAAGGAAATATGTCCTTTTCTACAGCTCGCTGTCCGATCAAAAGGGTAGGTGCGTATTTGGAAACAAACGATTTTTGGTCATACTGTTTTTACCTAACCAAAGAGGCGTGACGTTCTGATTTTAATTTTCAGATAACTCAAACCTTACTGTAATATTTCAAAGTCAGAATGTCATTACAGTACGAGTGCCATATGCCGTATTGTTATAACGGTTAATACTGCTCCACTGTTCATGACAGTTGGCGGTTGCATGTCGATTTCATCGCGCTGCGTACTGTTTATGACGCATGAACGATAAGCGGTTTGCAGCCACAGTGGTTTAATCTCTCTGACAAATCAATCTGACTCTCAGAAACTTAACTTCGTCTAGGAGAAGCTGTGTATCGCAGATGAAACGTGCGGTCGTTGACTGACGATGGCAAACTGGACGATGTTACTCGATCTGCAGTGCGATACAACATAGACATTTTGGGACTGTTAACGACTCACCTGTCAGACAACTGATATCAGCAGTTTGAAGAAGGATGGAAGTTCTACGATTTGGCAATAAGGACTCTCGCTGCGAGCCTGAAGTCGAAGTTCTACTGCCCATCGAGCGGCGAGCGACTGCTTCAATTTTCGTCGAATACACGAATGACCGTGTCATCGTTTAAGAGTTGGCTAGATGAGAAACAAGCAAAGATGAACTATGCCACGCAAATGCCCTTACAAACGTTGGAAGGACCCAGAATCACAGGACCCACAAAAATATCCAGTTCTATGCCTGTCTTCATATGGTTTTCCATGACACAGGTTATCTATCGTCGACGTAGCACACCACTGTGCTCTTGATTAGACAACTTATAAATCAATACAAAAAGTATCTGCAACTCGTAGTGACCAAACAGACTCTGCAAAATGATGACCATTTTGTTCAGCGTTATCGCACTGATCCATTGATCCATCGTTAAGACCGGATGAGAAAATGTTAATTGAAGAACAAAAAACAATTTATAAAATCCACAAACTCTATGAATAAAAACGAAAATCTGGAAAACAGGTGAAAAAATACTCACCATGCTTGTGAACGGAATGGCTCGGGTAGCGGTATAATAGACAGCAATAAAGTTGATGAGAAATGCCGTAGAACATATCACTGCCGGTAACAGGAATGTTCCCAACAGCATCTGCTTGATCCACAGTTTTCCTAAAATAATACTGGGCAATACATAACGTGACACTTCTATTCATATAAAAAAATAACTACGGCATTTTCGGTTTACTTTAAAGGAGGTAGGGTTTGCTTCGATGCACCGTAGGTGTCATAGGACCAGGAAGCCATGGCCTACAAGGCAGCTTAGACCTCTAGAAGCAAGGAAAGATGCGACTGACGCCAGAACATTTACTCCTTGGACTATTTTCCAAACAGCCAGCTCCTTTTCTATGTATCAGGATAAATAACAAAAAGCTAAAAATACAGAAAAAAACAAAGTTACTTGTGCGGTTATCTTGCCAATATTTATTACACTGACTTCTATTCTACTGAGCCGTACCTCAAAACATACACAGAATAACTGCAACGTTTCCCAAAACAAACGTAACTCATCATTTAATAAGCTATTTTCACACCTGTGCGACTCATCTAGCCTATATGCAGCGAAAATTTTGCCCTTGTACGTAGGTGTCACCTTCATTGACCCGTGATTTGACTACGGCTATCACACCTGGTAACGGCTCTGAATGCCTGCTAAAATATGAATACTATTTACTTTATAAAGAGATAATAAGCAATAACTATAAGCAGTGAGTCAAGGACAAAACATGGTTTGAGAAGTTGCCAGTATATCTTTGATACTAGATTCCTTTGGAATTATTAATTTCAACATCTCAGTGAACAGATGCACTTCACACTATTCTATTGTTGTTCACTTCACACTTCACACGCTACTCAGACTATTCACGCAACAACCTGTTTGTCTAGGAGCATAGTTTAGCAGCGATGTGGTGTAATCATGCGGCGAAAGTACTCAGGTTTATGAACACACTTTTCAAAATTTTACCAACTATTAAAAACTAAGAATATTTCAGCAGCAGCTAAATTAATTAAATAGTAAAGTATAACCAATTTTCAGATATAACTGTTCATAATTGTAAGCCATAATTTCTGCAAATGATTTCATTCCGAAAGCAGCAAACACCAGCTTGAACCAACTTAAAATAAAGGAAATACTACTAGGAAAGGTGTCAAAATGCTATTCTTCAGGACATCACCAAAGCAGTGAGAAAACTTGTGGAAGTTGGTTGGTTACGCCAAACAAGCCGCAGCTAGTTGGTTACGCTTAACCTCTTTCAGCTGGCGAAATATAAAAAATAGGAAACAGGAAGAAAAGATCCTAGTCATAATAAAAAAAACGTACCGCCGAACCTCGCGTACATGCTTCCACCGACAAAACCGTTTACAGGAGAAATAGCTGCATACGAAAAGATGATCGCGCTCAACAAAGACCCACGTCTAAAACAAACATATACAAAATGGTCCACACTGTTCTAAAATACACGACTATGCAAATGTATGAAAAGGATAAATTAAGTACGATAAATTTAACATATTATCCCAGATAACTCTTGAGATCAGACGATGGTCGCTGGCTACGCAATTATATGCAGAAATTTTAATGCTGAGGGTATTATTCTGCATGGAAACAGGCCATTTTGCTGTGGAACAAAAATTATAGTAGTGGTTGCCAAAAATCATCATACCTTGATAAAATTGACTGGAACAACAAGAAAACAAAAAACAAATAGAAAAGACGAACGACTCTATTGTTGGAAAACGATGAAGTTGGAAAGGTCGAACCACAGCAACCCCGAATTTTGAGCCATTGCTTGAGAATCAATTTCTGATGCAAAAAAATGAGTTAACATATGCATACTGCGTATAAAGTTCGCCGATGATCGTCGAGCAAATGACAACGATGAGCACTATGAACACATGGTAGCCAGTTCCGACCAACGAACAGAAGAGCATGAGGTGACTGGGCGGGCGGAAGACGTCTCCGTGGATCTGCTTCCAGCCGTACTCGTCACTGAGGTCACCTTCCTGTAAACTTCTTCACTGAACAAAGATCGATTTTAGGTACTATGCTAATATATGTCTTACGATGTCATCGACGTCAGATTCCTTTGAATATCTGGCATAATCCTTCCTTAGGGTCCGCATCAAGATCGCTAGAACGAGTCCGACGAGGAACAGAGTCATAATCGACGAATTAATGATCGAGAACCAGTGAATCTGAAATTGGATGAGTTTGAAAACAAAATAAAAATGAGTGCAAAAATTTACTTTATGCTGAAAGAAACTAACATCCAAGTATTTGTTGAATCGATCGTTGAAAGAGGTATCAGTTGGTGTCCATTTCAACTAAAATTACGCTTATAACGATAAAGAGTGGCCAAAATAAAGTAAATAGCACATGAGAGTATGGCAAACAGCCAACAAGACGCATACAATCGCAAAAACAAATAACATGTATATAATACATATAACGCATGCGTCTAAACAAATCTAACATAAACAGACGTCGATCCTATGTTCAAGAAACAAATTACGGAATCTCTGATCATGCCTTCGTTGGAACAAAGCATCCACGGTGACACAGAAATGTCGCAATTGTCTGCCCAGATGAAAAAAAAGTGGACAGGTAGGGACCAAGGAGATGTCTCATGCCAGACTCAACCACCTGTCTGTAATGCTACTAAAGCTATCGAAAGTTATACCGGCTAGGTCATCTCAGGAATGCTCAGGGCCATGCAGGGTGGAAGGGGGGGGGCAAGGATGCGGGTTGTGAAAAGACGGCGATCAAAACCTGTTACACGACTCCTGACAAATGCGGGCGTAGCAGCACGACAAACAGCTGATGAAGATTTACAAGAAGATGACGAATATAGCAGTCAGCAATTGAGTTGCTATCTGTCCTAAACAAAGGGCACGGATAATGCGAGTCCTAATGACGCATCAGAGAAGGTTTCATGAGTATAATACCGACGTGAAAGCCTGCAGAAAAGTTTGCTTATTACAGTCAGAAACTGCAACATCTCTTCCCTCAAAGGGAACGAGCAGAAGCTAGTTGATAAGGCCGCATGGTATCAAATGGATATAGTTGAACTCTAGTTAATGAAGAACCATGGGTCTCGAATTCTGAACCTCTGCGTAAGGAATCTGTTCAACTCCAGTGCGACTGCATGACAATCGCTCAGGCCGGTATTACTGTTCTGGTAGAACCCAACCTGGCTGACAAAATCAATGAATGGAAGTCTGTCATCTGAAAAGTTATCATCCTACGACGTAAATGACAGCAGGCGAAGTCTTTGGCACAAACTGGTCTATGCGCCCACTGAAGGGAGAACAAGCGTCATACCTGGATGAAGTAGAATGTACTTTGCAAGATGCACAGATTATGGAATCAATCATTCTGATGTGCACATTGGAACAGACACTGAAAAATGTAAATCTGTGATTGGAAGGAAAGACCCTAGCAACCTCAGCAACAAGGACAGAATCT